CTGTAGTCAGGGGGCGGGGCTTAGGTGATGCCAGCTGTCCACATTGTCACTGTCTTCAGATGTGGTCAGTGATCACACAGACAAAGTTTGAAATTGATCTGATCATGCACATGGGAGTTATTAAGTCAAGTAACGTAATGGCGACTGGTCAAAGTTTGAGGCTTAGCCACGCCCACACCTTTATACTTATTTAAAATCCGATGGTTGAATTTTTTCCTCTATGTCTTAAGAGTATATAGCAGGAGTTTGAAGGTGATCGGTGGAAAGGACGACGAGACATCATTCTCCTAATAACGTGTGCGAAAACCACTAAATCGAGTACTTGGACCAAAATGGCCGACCTCCTGTGCGACATTGCGCTTGGCTCCAAGAGACTTTTTTGTAGGTCCTGAGACACTACATTAGTGTGCCAAATTTCGTGATCCTCAGTCAAAGCATGGCTTGGGGCTGACAGTTTTAATGGTCCTAGGGGGCGCTATTTCAGAAAATAGGCCACGCCCACAAACTTCAGCTGTCCAATTCTATTAGGGGTCAGAGTAGGATCACTCATCAGAAATTGTGTGGCGATGTCACAATGATTGAAGAAATGAGAGACAAACGTATTTCCATGGCGTGATGGCGAATTTCGCCATGCTCCCAAAGCCCCGCCTTTATTCGAAACCTGCCAGTACTATAGACCAAGTGACCTCAACTTGTCTGCTGCTATGTGCCAGTGATTGGTGGTGATTGGTTAAAAGGAGTTCAATAGGGAGCTGTGAAAAAAAGAGTGGCGTGGCGACAGGTCAAAGTTTGAGGCTTAGCCACGCCCACACCTTTATACTTATTTAAAATCCGACGGTTGAATTTTTTCTCCTTTGTCTTAAGAGTCTATAGCAGAAGTTTGAAGGTGATTGGTGAAAAGGGCAATGGTGTAACACTCTCCAAACAACGTGTGCGAAAACCACTAAATCGAGTACTTGGACCAAAATGGCCGACTTCCTGTGCGACTTTGCACTTGGCTCCAAGAGACTTTTTTGTAGGTCCTGAGACACCACAATAGTGTACCAAATTTTGTACTCCTCAGTAAAAGCATGGCTTGGGGCTGACAGTTTTAATGGTCCTAGGGGGCGCTATTTCAGAAAATAGGCCACGCCCACCGGATGTTCACATCCGATTCTTTTTGGGGCCAGACTAGGATGACTCCCAAGAAGTGTCGTGGCGATATCTCTAGAAATGACGAAATGGGAGGCAAACGTAAGGCCTAAGCGGTACGCCTGACTTCGCCGCGCCGGCACTGCCCCGCCTTCTGCAGAAAACACCCATAAAGTGACGCCAAGCAACGCCACCTTCTCTTCAGTTAACTGCTACAAATTTGGGCTGATTATTCGAAAGGGCGAATTTTGGAAAATTTCCCAGTAAAACTTGACCTTTTAAGTCCTGAGGGGGCGGGGCTTGTGTGACATCATCAATCGACCATTCATTTGTCTTCGGGGGGCGATGACAATTATCCATAGAAAGTTACTTTAACTCTAATTCTTTCATTTATGAAATTATAGCAATTTGAATTTTTTTGGCGAGTGCTCGAACTTTGAGGTCTGGCCCCGCCCCTTCAGTATTTACGAAAAGTCAATTTTATTTTCTCATTTGAATCGTCCATCGCTTCTGTTCGATAGTACACTATTTTTGACACAATCGTGCGAAAAATGACCAAACTGTTAGACCAAATGTAGACCCTAGAAATGGCCAAAACGGCTAAAAATCTCCATTTCAACCCAAAATGGCCGACTTCCTGTTTGATATTGACCATGGTTGCAAGAGACTTTTCTGTGCGGACTGTTGAGTACTACAAGTAAACCAAATTTCATAACTGTACGATAAACTAAGCTTTATGGAGAGGGGTATTTTTCACTTTCTAGAGGGCGCTGTTCAGCCACTTTTTTATGAACTTTCACATCGCCAGTGAAATACGTAAATTTCACGCACTTTCTATATTGGGCCAGAATTTGGTGACTTTTTGGATATGCTAAGACCCCCTAAAGGCCACCCAAAGACGCGGAAGAAAAAAAAAAATAATAATAATAAATAATAATAATAATTAAAGCTGCAAGCAGCGTCGTTCGGCCCTCGCAGCTCCGCGCCGCTCCGGCCTGGCCGGCAGCCCGGGGCACCAGGGCACGTCCGCAGAACACAAACGTCGACCACCCCAACACCAGAAACTGCTAACGGCCACCTTGTCCGCAACTCACCCTGACTCAGCATCCCCTTTGAGCCCACCATTATATTTTATGTCTCACCACTAGGGAATCCTCTATCTTTACCACACTGGTGGTGTGATGACAGTGACCAACTTTAATGCTATTCTGACCATGTTTTTTAAAGTTATCGAAGGATAACGTTATCTAGGTGGCGCTGTGACCAACTACAGAAAAGTCCCATTGAGGTCAGCTTTGGTGACATTATATAACATTCACCAACCGTTTGTGCCTCATTGGCTAAAGGGCATGATTGTTCATTGCCATATTCAGTTTCGGGCAAATCGGAGGCCGTTTGTGGAAGTTACAGTCAAATGTAAGGTCATGGCGTCACGCCAGCATTCACCATGGCATCAAAGCCCCTCCCTTTCTGGAAAGCTATCAGATCTGAATGGTCTTTAAAACATCATGAAGACACTGTATGACCTGAGTGTCATTTTCATTAAATTAGAGGGGACAAATATGGGCATTTCACCATAAAACAATAGACTTCCTGTTGTCAGGGGGCGGGGCTTAGGTGATGTCAGCTGTCCACATTGTCGTTGTCTTGAGATGTGGTCAGTGATCACACAGACAAAGTTTGAATTAGATCTGATCATGCACATGGGAGTTATTAAGTCAAGTAATGTCATGGCGAAAGGTCAAAGTTTGAGGCTTAGCCACGCCCACACCTTTATACTTATTTAAAATCCGACGGTTGAATTTTTTCCCCTTTGACTTAAAAGTACATAGCATAAGTTTGAAGGTGATCGGTGTAAAGGGCAACGGGCCATCAATGTCCAAACAACGTGTGCGAAAACCACTAAATCGAGTACTTGGACCAAAATGGCCGACCTCCTGTGCGAAATTGCGCTTGGCTCCAAGAGACTTTTTTGTAGGGCCAGAGACCCTACATGAGTGTACCAATTTTCGTAATCCTCAGTCAAACCTTGTCTTGGGGCTGACAGTTTTAATGGTCCTAGGGGGCGCTATTTCAGAATATAGGCCACGCCCACAAATCTCAGATGCCCATTTCTATTGGGGGTCAGACTAGGATCACTCACCAGACATTTTGTGGCGATGTCACGATAATTGAAGAAATGAGAGGCAAACGTATTGCCATGGCGTGATGGCGAATTTCGCCATGCTCCCAAAGCCCCGCCTTTTTTCAAAACCTGCCAGTACTGTAGACCAAGTGACCTCAACTTGTCAGCTGCTATTTACCAGAGATTCCAAGTGATTGGGTAAAAGGAGTCCAATAGGGAGCTGTGAAAAAAAGAGTGGCGTGGCGAAAGGTCAAAGTTTGAGGCTTAGCCACGCCCACACCTTTATACTTATTTAAAATCCGACGGTTGAATTTTTTCCTCTATGTCTTAAGAGTATATAGCAGAAGCTCGAAGGCGATTGGTGAAAAGGGCGACGGAGCATCACTCTCCAAACAACGTGTGTGAAAACCACTAAATCGAGTACTTGGACCAAAATGGCCGACTTCCTGTGCGACTTTGCACTTGGCTCCAAGAGACTTTTTTGTAGGTCCTGAGACACCACATTAGTGTACCAAATTTCGTAATCCTCAGTCAAAGCATGGCTTGGGGCTGACAGTTTTAATGGTCCTAGGGGGCGCTATTTCAGAAAATAGGCCACGCCCACCAGATGTTCACATCAGATCTTTTGGGGGGCCGGACTAGGATCACTCACAAGAAGTTTCGTGACGATATCTTTGGAAATGACGAAATGGGAGGCAAACGTAAGGCCACGGCGGTACGCCTGAATTCGCCGCGCCGCCACAGCCCCGCCCTCTGCCGAAAACTCCCATAAAGTGACGCCAAGCAACCCCCACTTGTCTTGAGTTACCAGCTACAAATTTGTGGTGATTAAGTGAAATGGGGCAATTTGGGACCTTTCACAGTAAAACTTGATCTTTTTGGTCCTGAGGGGGCGGGGCTTGTGTGATGTCATCATCCGACCATTCAATTTACTTTGTGGGTGGATGACGAATGACCACAGAAAGTTTGGTAACTCTATTCCATTCAGTTATGAAGTTATAGCAATTTAAATATTTTTGGCGAGTAGTCAAACTTCGAGGCCTGGCCCCGCCCCTTCAACATATACGAAAACTCAGAATTCTCATCTCATTTTGTTCGCCCATCCCTTCTTAGCAATTTTACACAATTTTTGAGACGATCGTGCGAAAAATGATCGAGCAATCCAATCAGGAACGGACCCTAAAAACGGCAAAAACTGCAAAAAATCGCCATTTCAACCCAAAATGGCCGACTTCCTGTTTGATATTGACCATGGTTGCAAGAGACTTTTCTGTGCGGACTGTTGAGTACTACAAGTGTACCAAATTTCATAACTGTACGATAAACTAAGCTTTATGGAGAGGGTTTTTTTTCACTTTCTAGGGGGCGCTGTTCAGCCATTTTCTTTGTGATTTTTTTGGGACCTTTAAAATATCAAATTTTTCACCAGGCCTGACAAGTTTGCAAAATATTGTGAGTTTTGGGGTATGTTAAGGTCCCCAAAAAGCCGTTCAAAGCGGGCTAAGAATAATAAAAAATAATAATAAACAGAGCAAAAACAAGAGGCCTTCGCAGCGCTTTGCTGCTCGGGCCTAATAATAAACGGAGCAGATACAATAGGCCTTCGCAGCTTCACTGCTCGGGCCTAATAATAAACGGAGCAGATACAATAGGCCTTCGCAGCTTCACTGCTCGGGCCTAATAAAATGTTATGGAATGGCATCCAGAGTCAATGTGCTCTTCAACGTTTTTTGCACTTTCTTAGGTGTGTTCCTATATGGTGGAAGTGTGACGGCCAATCAGACTGTGGCGACGGCTCAGATGAACCTCAGACCTGCCCGCCTCGTTACTGCCCCATAGGCCAGTTCCAGTGTCGGGATGGCAGCTGCACATACCCCGGTTTCATCTGCAACGGCCACCCAGACTGTCCCGACAGTTCAGATGAGGATGCGGCTCTTTGCAGTATGAGGATTTTAAAAAGTTGAATGTAGAAAGTACTAAAGTGACTTAATTCAAAGTCAAAACAAAATGATAGAAGTGCTGTGCTTGGTAAGATCAGATCATGTGGTTGAACTGAATCCAGATCCAGGTTTTATCTTCTTGTAGGTGATCACCGGTGTGAGGCCAACCAGTTCCAGTGTAAAAACAAACAGTGCATCCCCGTGTCCTGGCACTGTGATGGTTTAAGTGACTGTTCCGACGGCAGCGACGAGGATGCAGAGACTTGTGCTCAGAAGACTTGCCGTCCCGGACAGTTCCAGTGTACGAATGGCCGCTGTCTGCCATCGAATTACTTCTGTGACGCCCAGGATGACTGTGGAGATGGATCTGATGAGCCACATGAAATCTGCAGTAAGTGCATAAACACAACACACTCAAAAATGAGATGATAATTTTTGCACCAGTAGAGCCCTGGGATTGTTGTGGGCCATAACAAAGTAAGCAGCTGTCCTGTGAGATTTAGGGTGAATTTAATTGACATAAACACAAACTGTTCACTGCTAAATTTTTCGTTGTGAATTTACAGTAAATAATTTGATAAATTTTGCATGACTTTCACAGTAAGAAATGCAGTAATATACTGTGAAATATACTCACAGCTACTTATTGTAATTTTTTAATGTCATATTACAGGATATTCTTGTAAAAGCACAACTTTTTACTCTAATTTTACAGTTTTATTGACAAAACAATTATAGTGATATTACAGTTAATTACTGGGGAATTACAACCTTTTGCAGTGCATCATTACAACAAGACCCTGTACTTTTACAGGGTGTACTGTGAAATTAATGTACAAGTTTACAATTATTTTCTGTGAATTTACAATGCAAACTAAGGAAAATGTCCAGTAATTTACTGTAAAAGTAATGCAGATTTACTGTATTTCAAGAATGCAAATAATATAATGACTTAGAAATATTCAGTAATATTACCTTTAATGATCAAGTAGGGGGTGCTGGGGAGTTCTGTAGTATTGACGTCCGCGACAGTGGCACGTGGCTGTAAGACACAATAGCATGGATTTAGGATAATGGATAAATATTCTTCACTGGTCAGAGATAGTAAAAACCTAGCGGTAACCAGATCTATGTGTAGCCCCAACCCGTGTCAAGTCTACACTGCAATCTTAAACTGCACCTAAACAACGCGTCTGAAAACGGGAGGGCCATCTGTTAGAATATTTTCAGCTAATTGGACGACACTCGAGCAAGTGTCCGGCTATCATGATTTGTCCTTAGTGGATCGAAGACGGGCAGCTTTAATTTGAACTGTACAAGATAGATTGTCGGGGTTTTGGACAACTCCAAATCTCGCAAGAATACAGTTTGCAGCGCAAGGTTAAGGCAGGAAATCATACAAGGTAAATGTGGATAGTGTAATCACTCATGTTGCATTTTACATATTTCAATACAAAAAATAAATCTTACATCAACTTCAAGAATCAAACTCTCTTTCGGCTCTTGAAGTACAACGTCAGGAGCAGCAGGATGCAGGCAGCCCAGGAGTCTGGATCATAGCAGGCCAGAACATCACGGATCTTGGGGTTGTTCAGTGTTGCACAGTAATCCAGGATGGTCTGTCCTCGTCGACTAATTGCCTCTTGTAGTTTCTGAAGGACATCAATGTTCATCAGGAGGCCAAAGTGTGAGAATAGGCATTTCTGAGAGATGAGAAATGGCCACTCCTGTTTTATCTCAGGCATCACTGCAGCAGGCACTTTATTAAGATATTTCCGCAGAATGACGTATGTCTTTTTCATCAGTAGTTCAGCTCTCTCTGCTCCATCCATTCCTTCTTCTGTGTATATAGAATGTATTGTTAGCATCCAAGTAACAATTTGGTGTTGTAGCTGCCCAACACACACAGTGTAAAGATCTTACAACTTGTTTCTAGTATTTCTTGTTTTACACAGAATAGCAGAAAATGTTCGTTCTTTACCTTTGTTTTGCTGACAGTTTTGGTTCTCAGCGGGAGCCAACCAAAACTGACAGCAAAACAAAGGTAAAGATTTGACCTTTTTTGCTATTCTGTGTTGACAAGAAATACTAGGAACAAGTTATAACGATAAGACACAGTATGAACATAACAAAGACGTGTGCAGATTTCGACCAATTACTTAATTCCAAACTAAATAACTCAAAAAGAGAGTTGATGGCATACCTGAGTAGATGTTCAGCAGATCCCTTTTCATATTCTCCAACGTTGCCTCGGTCTCCCCTCTGGCAAATCTGCTGGGCCCCACCTGACACATCTAAGAGTGGGCATCACAGGGAAAAATTACTATTGAGGATAGTTATAGCACAGAAAATGGAGCTAGTTGTCTCATGACCAATGATCAGCAGACTGATGCTCTGTTGTGACTGCCTAAATAAACCCATCCCACAGAAGTTATATTAAAGAGTGACAGTGTTGTAAACATGGGTGTTTTATCCAATTATTAAGGACAAGCTATTTAGTGTACCATAACCATGCATGGCAAGGAGCCATTTTGCACAATACCAGCACCCCAGCTCAGCTAAAACCCAAATGGAACAAGGCCATAATAACAGTTAATTACACCTGTGTTTACTACAATCTAAACATTGCAACATGCTTGCTGAGATGAGACCATGTCAAAATGTCAATAAAGTACTGGTAGGCAAGAGAAAAATGTTTCATCTCAATTCTGGGTTATTCGTGGTCGTTTACAATGCTTTCGATCAAATGTTGACAGATTTTACATGTATATTGCCACATACCCATATCGGTCAACAGGACCTCTTGCCAGTCTGGCCTCTCCTGCCATTCCCATGCACGGTCTTCTTTCTCTGTGGCGTTGAGCAAGAGTATTATTCCTATTTTTGTACTCCACTCTGTGACATCCATCTCCAACAGTATCACCATGCTTGCCAATGTCGCTAAAGGATTTTGTATGGCTCCTGCAAATTTGGGTAGAATAATTATAAAACAAGTCAGAATTGTGGGGCCTATTAAATAGGCATACAGCTAATGTACTTGAAGAAACAAAACACACTTAAAGTCCATCTTTTAAGTTGTTTTAAAATCATAACCATCTTTTTATTTGGTGAAAAATTAAAGTTGATCACACTTTTCAGTGTTTGAATGACTCTCAGATGTTATAATTTGTCTGTCTTTAGCTCTGCAAAAAGTCAGCTTCAACAAAAAGCTAACAAATGTCTTACTGTGGATGTTTCAAGTATAAGTGACAGAGATGGTTGTCATCTCCTATCTCATGACCACTTTGTCTCCCATATTCTTGTTTTTCCTCTACGTTTTGTGTATTTCTATCTCACCTGTCTCCTCAGATCTCATCTCTAATTTGTCTCTCTGTCTGTCCCCAGTGGGTCCAGACCACAAGTGTGACGAGGACACTGAGTTCTCCTGCAAGACAAACTACCGCTGTGTTCCTCAGTGGGCTCGCTGTGACGGCACAAATGACTGTCTCGACAACAGCGATGAGGAGGCCTGCGGTCAGTTCAGATCTGCCTCAGAGCTCTAGCAGTCATGTTTATATCTCATTCTGTGAATCAGAGAAGTTTAACTTCTAATTTGTCTTCCTAAGGGACATTTTTGTCCATTTTGGCAGTTTTTTGCTTTTCTTTTGGATGCCATTTCACCCATTGCTTGTGCATATGGTACAAATTTCTGTCATGAAACCCTTCTCTGGACAAATTTTGAAATTCATTTTGAAATTTTGAAAATAGACCAAGGGAACAGTATGAAAAAAAGCACTTATACACTTGAGTCTTTAGAGGACAAAAACTTCCCATTGACTTCCATTCAAACCACAGTTTTTGATCTGCAGCAAATAATCGTGCTTTCTGTGATATCAGGGTTTCATTTTGGAAAAAAGTAGTCAAATTTATGATTTTTACTGTTCACCACCAAATTCAGTCATTTCTCCATATGTGGCCCAGGTGAGAAAGTCTACACATTTATTTAGATCTTCTTTTGTCTGTGTTGAAGTCAAAAGGTCAAGCTAACCTCTGATAAGTAAATAAAACACAGTTTGACTCTCCTACTGAACTTCAAAGTGTAGAAAACAAAATCAATTAGTATTTTTTTTTTTTTGCACCTGGCTGATCTCAGGTACCATCAAACACTTTCTAGTTTGATTATCAGGTAAATTCAATTCCATTCCATTCAATTAATTCCAAACTGGGATTTATCTATGTGTTTTGTCCGCTAAGATCAATCTGTTGATACACAAAAACTATTCATGCAAACTTTTTTACTTTTTAAAATATTTAATAACATGACCAAGACTGATTTAGAGTAAATGTCTCGGGAAGAAAAAGTTGTTTTTTGGAAAATACCTATTTTTTGTGTTTTTTCATAAATTAGAGAAATTACTTTCAGTAATAAAACTGGCATTTGAGGGGTAAAAATCCTCAAAATGATGGAAATTTTAATATGTTGAGCAGGGCTGAAGTTGTTAAACAGATCTATGAAAAAAAGCAAAAGATTACTGAAAATATAAATGGACTACTGGCAGTTTTGAGTGGGGCCCCTTGGGGGGCTTGGCGGCGGCCATGGGTCACTGCCTGGCGGCTGCAATGCCCCTGGGCGGGTCTGGATGGGGGCCTGGGGGCTCGGGGTTTGGGGGTGGCCGGCCCCGGGTGGGGATCTGGGCGGGGCCTTGGGGGGCGGGGCCTGACATGTATGCTGCCGGGAAGAAGGCAGGAACACGCAGCAGTGCCTGGCCCGGGTTCGGGGGCCTCAGGTAAACCTTGGCTCCTCTGCCGTTCCATCACAGGGGAGGGGGGAGGTTCAGGAGGGGGAGGACCCAACCTTACCTGGATGTCCCAAGTCTTATATATTCTGGAAGTTGTGCAAATGCAGGGATGGGCATAGATATTTTGCTGGGGTGGGGCTGGGTTGGTGCCCTTGGACTCTGTGGGGCTCTGTAATGCTGCTGCTTTGGACCCTGGCAGGATGGGCTGGGGTCTCCATGCCCTGGGTGGCAGTTTGACAACAGAGGTGCCTATTGGGGCAAGTAGGGGAGCTGGCTCCCTGGAGGGCTAAGCCCAGCCAGCCATTCCTCCCCATCCCCGCATATTTCTCTCCTCCTGCTCCCTCACATCATCACACAAACATACACATAGGATCTTGGGGGGTGGGCAAGTCAGGGAGTGCGGGTATGGACCCCATTTCCGCATTCCTGTGGCAACCTACCCCCCAATTTTATTTGCACCTTATACACTTCCACTGACGACATTCCACACAAACACACACTTAGGGCCTTGGGAGTGAGCACATTCAACGGCATTTGGCAGGGGGATATTTCAGCCTCCTCCCGGGTGCCGGTGCCCACTTCCAATTTTAAACCGCACTTAGACACTGATGGCTGAGGGTGTAAGTGGGGTGGTGTGGTGGCACCAGCTGGCATAGGCCGGATGATGCCCGCACTGCCCACTCACCACAGCCATGGAATACACCTCATGATCACACAACACTATATTGGAGCAGGCTGAGGGAGACTAGGGGTCTTAGCCACCTCTGTTGTTGCTAGGCCTCCTGGGGCTGGAGGCTAGGAGGGAGATCTGGCCGTCTGGTTGGGGTTTGGGGTGGTGGGTTGCTGTGCTCGGCGTTGGGCGGGGGAGCCTGCTCATCAGCACCCCAGCAGAAAGGGTCAAACTCTGGTTACTGGTGATGGTTGTACCCCATGTGCAGCAGTACCGGGACCAGAGTGAATAGGGTGTGTATGAGGAGCATGAGTGGGTGTCCGGCGTGCATTTTTGTAAGTCTTGGGTTGTATGTGCATGTGTGAGCATGAGGGAGGGAGTGTGTGACTGTGTTTGTGTATGATTGTATATGTCAGGTGGGGCCTTTGATTCCTCCCCTCTCCTGGAACCTCTCTTGATGATATAGGTCTTTGTCCCCCCTCCCCCTGCCACACCTGGTGTGAGGGGTTGTGCCATGGTCTGCCTGAGTGTTCGTGGCAACCGGGTCTGGGGGTTTAAGATTCAGGCATCTGCCTGATAGATCCCGGTGGCTGCCTGGTGGGGTCTGGGTCCCTGGGCTCTGCTGGGTCCCCGGCGGGGGTGGTCACCCCGGGTCCCGGGTCGCTGGGTCCCGGGCTCGGCCGGCTAGGGGGTGGGAGGCTGCGGGCGGGCCTGTGGGCTTGCCGCTGATATCTCCCGGGACTCTGCCGGCTGCTGGTTGTGGCCCCCCGGGGCGATCCTCTGTGCCTCTCGGGGGGGGGGGGGGGGGGGGGGGGGGGGGGGGGGGGGCTTCCTGCGCATCTTTGGGGGGCGGATCTGTGGTCCCTCACACTCTCTGTTGGATGCTCCTATAGAGAAACCTTACATAAACAAGCGCGTGTACACACACAGGTGCTCACATGGTGCTCTCAAAAGTATGGGCTTGGGAATGTTAAACACAGGTCTTAAGACTATGGTGAGCACTTAATGCACTGTGATTTATTATCGTGATTCTTCAGTTAAGCAATGTTGATTATATATTTTCTTCATCAAGTTAGCGCAGTGATAGCTAGATCTTGTTGTATTGTTGTTGTGTCCCTTTTTTTGTCTTTTTCTGCAGGTCTAGAAGCAGACTCTTGCTCATTGTTTATTTTTGTGGAACCCCCCCTCCTCTCTCCCCACCTTTTCTTTTCCTTTCTCTCTCACCTCTGTCTCCGTGTCTGGTCGGAATTACAATGCATTCAACAACAATAACAATAAAGTTTTAAGTATCAGGCGTGACATTAAAAGCAAACGCTTTGATGCTCCACCTGAGAGTAAATCTGTAAGGCTTGTCACCAGCATTCAGACATCAATTCTGCTTGCTTCACAGCCAGACAGGACACGGTAAAAAAAAAAGAAAAGAAAAAAAGCAAAAGAAAATATCAATATATACATTTTTTATAGTCATTTTTACCAGGGGATGTTTTTATCCTTTAAAGACTGAAGTATATAGTAAATTAAAGTGAAGCCACTATTCTTAGTTTACTACTACCAGAACACCACAGTGTAGTGGTGGTACACTGGTTTAGTTGTTATCATCATCATCATCTTCATCATTATTATTATTTATTTATTTATTTATTTATTGACCATGTGGTAAAAAAAATACTGTTTTTTGATTGTAACACAACAGAAGAGATGACCTGTGACCCTCTGGGAGATTTCCGCTGTGACAACCACCGCTGTGTTCCCATACGGTGGAAGTGTGATGGCACCAATGACTGTGGCGATGGCTCAGATGAGAGAAACTGTCGTAAGTGCCAGACTCTCCTCCTCTCTGTCCTTGACGCGGACATCTAACTCCACCAGAGTTGTTTTTTATTGTTCTTTAGATTTGTCTTGTAAACATCACATGCCATCAAAAGACAAAAAATGCTGGTGTATCTGTGTGATATTGTGAATAAAACATCTCATAAACTAAAGGATATACTATATTTTACTGAAGTTCTCACAAAGTCATTATTAAATGTACAATTTAGAGTAAACGCAGTTCTAGGTGGCGGCCATAGAAATTTGACATTGGCGAAGGCAGAGATTGGTTAAACTCAGTTTGAGATGTTTTGAGTTAAAGTTGTTGTGGTTTAGGTTTTTGCTGGAAGACATTGAAAACTTACCCCCTGAGTGCTAACAGACTGTGTGAAATGTTGCTATATTGCAGGAGATTTCACATTGAATTATATCATTTATAGAAATAAAATATCAGTTCTGAAATACATTCAATTCAATTCAGTTTACTTAGAGACAAGGAAGCTTGATTTATAAAGCACATTTCCCATGGCACAACAATACACAGGACAACACAAATTAAAAATATACAAAGATAAAATTATAATTTAGAGCTAAAAGGAAAAGACAGAATTATGGTTGAGCTATTACATCACAGATTACAGTGGAGACGATGCAGCATAAGAAACAGTTCATTCAAAGGCTGATGTGTACAAGGTTAGGGTTTTAAGTTTTGACCAGTGATGTAGTACTGCTGATTAGAAATAAAAGCATGAATGCATTTATATCTGGTCTGGACATGAGACCTATGACTCTTGATATTTGATGAAGGTGATAAAACACTGATTTAGTCATAGCCTTAATATGTCCAGAGAAGCTCAGGTTGGAGTCAATAATAACACCAACATTTCTAACCTGGGTCTTTATTCCCCTAGAGTCTAGCTGAGCAATAACATCCATCCTAACCTCCTTATTGCCAAAGACAACAACTTTGTTCTTGTCTTTGTTTCACCAAAGGAAGTTTTCCAGTCGTTTACTTGCTCTAAACACTGACAGTGAGTGAGTGAGTCCAGCGGACAATAGTCACTAGGAAATAGGGCTAGGTATATCTGGGTGTCATCAGCATAGCTATGATAGGCAATGTTGTTATTTAGTGTGACCTGGCCCAGGGGACCATGTAGAGATTGAAGAGTAGCAGCCCTAGAATTGAGTCTCGGGGGACCCCAGATGTCATGGTGATCAGCTTTGATTTGTGATCCCCAATAGAGACAACATAGCCCCTGTCTTTCAGATATGATTGGGACCAGGCAAGGACTGTACTGGATATATAGCGCCAAATCATGACAAGAGCACACAGCTCAGCAGAACACCACTGCAGCCTCTTCTGATGTGAAAAACACCCAAAGAAAAAAAAAATTCAACAGCCGAAGCAGCAGAAAACAATGCAATTAAGAGAGAAATTGTAGAATAAAGTGGAGTGTGGAAAGTGGTCAGTATGTCCTCCAGCAGTCTAAGGCTATAGCAACATAATTACATAGACAACTCTGGATAACTTAACCTTTTAGATGGAGGCATGTTGGAGGCAGTGCAAGGGAGAGTCATCTTTACCGACTGTATTCTCTATTGTACACTCCACCCTCCTCAATTCCTCCACTCTGCTATAAATGGAACATGTTATACAAAACTCACTTTTTGCATCCTTTTGTGCTGTCAATTGGGTCTCTACTGGGTCTATAAACACTCCAAACAAAAGAAATCCACCCATCTCTTTTCTGTCAGTGTTTGGTTTAGGAATCTTGTTCCTAAAACGAGCCAATTCAAAAAGTTCCCTATCTGTGATGTCACAAATGGGGACATTAGGATAGAACCGCCTCTCACGTACAAGACAGAGCTTCTGTTGAAGGAGCAGTGGCTCTATAACCTCCCGGATATCAGAGCTTCTCAGCTTATAGCAGCCTGAGCAGGGGAGAAGTGGACGTGGCCAGCTCCAGCCTGTTTTCTTAAAGTGACAGAGCCCTGATGTGGCTCATTCTGGAAGGTACTGAAACTGTCAAGAATAAAGCTGCTGAAATCGTAGCAGAGAGGGATTTTCAGCAAAGACCTTCATGAACAGGTTTTTTATTGATCATAGAACTATTATAACTTTATAAAAATAAGTCACATTATGTCTCCTTTAAGAATACAAGACCTTCCTTTGGATTTAGAATCTAAAACATACAAAATGCATCTTATGTTGCTTTCTGTTTCATTGTTTATTTATTTCCATATTTAATTCAAGTGTAATGCTTTATATGTCTGCTGCTCTTCTTAACCATAGCCTTTGTTTCTTGAATTGAACCTGTTTTTTTTTTTATTTACTGAAGTTAATTATGTGACTGAATTCCAGAGCCAAGGCCGTGCTCTGAGAGTGAGTTTCGATGTGACAACGATCAGTGCATCCCTGGAAACTGGCGGTGTGACCATGAAAACGACTGTGGGGATAACTCAGACGAACGAGACTGCGGTGAGTGCATGGTATTTTAACTCACATCTTCACAATGTTTTCAGTTCTCAACAACACATTGTTTTGGCTCCTTTCCAGAGCTGCTGACATGTCGACCAGGTTTCTTCCAATGTGACTCGGGTCACTGCATCCCCACGGCCCTGCAGTGTGACGGCCAGGCCGACTGTCTGGATCTGTCAGATGAGACCAGCTGTCGTAAGTAAACATTAAAAACTATTGGCCAACATCCAACCATCTTCACTTTTAATCATTAAAATAAGAATTCATGTTGAAAGGCATGATAAGAATTAATTGTTTGATGTTAACGGTTTTACTTTTTCAGTTATCAAATCAAAGGTTAGCTCAAATCTTCATTGAAGTGAACAAAATTATTAGAGGGCTTTTAAGTTCATTGTCTGAACATTTACTTTTAAAGATCTACTGCTTCGCATCCAAACATGTCCAGATAACGATGTTGATAAATGTGAACCATTAAGGGTTTGAGAGTGAAGAAACCATAAAGCATAATCTTTTTGATTGCCCTTAAAAGGGACATATAATGCAAATGAAATCTGACTTTTCGTATCCTTTTAAGCTGCCATGTGGGTCTCTACTGCCTCTAGAAAAACTTGGAAAAAAACAAAAATCATCCATGTGTTTTATGTCAGTGTTTGATTTTAGGAATTATGTGGCTGAAACTAGCCGTTTCAAAAAAATCTTCATGAAACCACCTCTCACCTGTCAACTCTGGAGGAGCAGCTGCTCCACTCTGAGCCCCTCCTGGATATCAAAGTTTGTCAGCTTATTGACCCTTTGCATGTGACGTCACACCGCTCATGGGATCGTAGCCATGCTAATTACAAACTTTTACAAGCTGACAAATCTCAAAGTGACAGGAATGGTTGAAACACACTTGATTACTTTTCATGTAAATTGAAGTGCAACGTATGTGCGATCCAGGGCGTAAGGCAAAGCAGATTAGAAAATAGCTCTTTTAGCCCCGTTGACTTGCATCAATTTTTTCATTCTTCTGGGGACCCATGAGCCGGCCGGAAAGGGAGGAGACTTAGACTCCCTATTGCAGGCTGAGTGGGGGATAGGTGGGCGTGGCCAGCATCAGCTTGTTTTCTTCAAGTCACAGGGCCCTGAAACGGCTCATTCTGGGAGGTACTGAAAATGTCAAGAATAAAACTGCTGAGATGGATTTATGTGTGAGGGACTTTATGCAAAACATAAACATGTTTGGTATTGACTATAGAAATATTGTAACTGCTAAATTTCAGTTGTTCCCTATAAGGTATTTTCTTTCATCCTTCAACCCTGCTTCTTTACTGTTTTTAACTAAACAGAAAACTTTCTGTATGTTTGCTTCTACAGAGGTGTCAACTTCAGCTACACTTGAGCTCATTCATTTTATTTCCTTTGAAAATTTTGCTTAAGTTTTGAAACTGAAATAGTTTTGATCTCCTTAACAAATCGATGTGTAAAAAATCTTGTTCAAATTTCAAGCTTTAGCATTTGTCAACAAACAGCTCTACCTTTTTCAACTTTTGCAGCCACTCGTTACCCAGGAGGCCGTTGGTGTCCACCAAGTCAGTTCCAGTGCGCGAATCGACTGTGTGTTAGCATGAGCTGGTTGTGTGATGGCTTTGACGACTGTGGAGACCGCTCTGATGAGGAACTCAGTTTGTGCTGTGAGGAAAATTTGCATTTGTGGTCATTTTGTGATTGTTGTTTGAATGTAAAAGTACAAAGAACAAGGGTTTCTGTGTTTTTAATCAGTGAACATCACCTGCGAGATGCCATCCAGGTTCCGCTGTGCCAATGGCTACTGTATCTACTCTGGGCTGCTGTGCAATAAGAAGGACGACTGTGGAGATGGCAGCGACGAGAAAGAAGATCTTTGTATGACTCCCACCCGTACACTAATACATGTTAATAAAATACCTGCAAGTACACTTTAAAGCACAGCAGTCAGAAACAAGCAGAAAAACCAAATCCATAGACAGGAACATTTAATGTCAGCATTAAATCCTGTTAAGTGCATTGTCCAGTCCTATTTGTGTTCTTTTTTTAAATGTAGCCATAACCAAATCTATAATAAGTTGCTGAGATTGCCAGGCTACATTAGTTCAAACTCCACTAACGCTCTGAACTTTTCTCTCTGAGGTCAGTGAAATAGGAAATTCCTACATGACATCAGTGGCCGCACAGTTCACAAAGCCTCAAACATCCGACAGATAAAGAGTTTATTTTATGGAAATGTTACACAATCAGATTAAACATGAATCAAATTATTCCAGGAGATTAAATAGTAAAGTGCAGACTAGAAGTACACATTGGTTGGTTAATCTCAGCTGGAGATAGTAAACACAGACCGTATGCATCATATAAAAGAAATTACCATCTCACTCTCCGTGGGTGGTCTCATCCTTACAAGCCTGTTGTCCTTTACCAGCAGTCTGGGAGCTTGAGGGTTCTGCGCAGTGTCTTAGCTGTTCCCAGAAGTGCACTTTTCTGCACACACACACACACACACACACACACACACACACACACACACACACACACACACACACACACACACACACACACACACACACACACACACACACACACACGTATATATAAATACTGTGACACTGCTAATCTGTGCATATGAGTGTATGAGTTTTATGTTTGTAAGGTGTTCATACTTGCCCTTTTAGTGTGTTTTTTTTTACTGTTGAGCTGTGACTGTAGAGAAAGAATTTGATGTTTGAGTCCATGAACATGAAACCGTTCCGAATGTTGTAACAGGTCGTGACCCCACTCTGCCTCCCTGCACACTGGAAGAGTTCAAATGTACCAACGGACACTGTGTGGCCCTGCCGTACGTCTGTGATCATAACGACAACTGTGGAGACCGCACAGATGAAATGGGCTGCAGTGAGTAAAACACAAAAACACTCTCTAGACACGATGCTGGGTTTATTTAGTATTTACAAAGAAGACAGTCATTTGAATTTGTCAACACATGTTATTCTCAAATGTCGCAAAAGGATGTTTGAAAGTCTTTTAAAGCATTAAAAATGTTATGGAACTGACACGAACATTTTGATCTAAGGATTTTTTTTATCTTATAAGATCAACATTATATTTAAAATGTCTTTCTGCTACAAAATGATCAACCATCAATGGTCAAAGTTAGTAATATTTTGGAAAGAAAGTGTAACTACAAAATCTGAAGCCATATTTATACCTTTTGTTATTTTTCATATATTCATAAATGAAATATTAGAGTATATTTTATAACTTTTATGGTCCTGATTTTGATTAATATAGGAATTTTTAACATCTTTTTATTAAGATTTTAACATTTTAAAGCTTTAACAGAGAACACCTCGCACCCCGCTACACAGGATAAACAAAAAAAAAGACATATAACAGGTCTCATTCTGACAATAATTTCAACTCAAAACCAAACTAATTTACAAAAGAAACACTCACGAAAACAAACAAAAAATAAATAAATAAATATTACAGGAACATCATCATATTGAGACATAAATAAAAATGTAAAAAATAAAACAGTTCCTGATCCTCTCTAGGTGAAGATGAGACATAGCCTTAGCGGTCCAATGACCACATGCTGGCAGGTGAGAGTCCTTCCATCTGGACCATACAAGCCTTTTAGCCAGTAAGCAGCAAAAAGCAATCAAACTTACCTGGCATTTGTCCAAGGGAACATTCATCACGACCATACCTGGAGATAACAATCCCTCCCAAGAAATAAACTCCACATAGCTTGTGCTTATACGGAGAAACCAAGGCCAACACCCCAAATGGACTCCCAGAAATAACAAGAAAACTCTACTCAAATAGCCAGAAAATAAAAAAAAATGGCAAAAAGCAACATTCCCAACACCAAACCCCCACAACAAAACCTCCATTTATGTTCCATCAAACAACAAAGAAAAGTCTTAAAAGTACATTCAATTGCCTTTGTGTTGAAAATGTGCTATGTAAATAAAGCTGTCGTGTCTTGTCTTAAAAACGGCCGGACTTGCATTTTTCCTGCATCGAGGCAGCAGCAGCTCAAATAGCTCAGTTATCCGCTCCAGTGATGATTGTACACTTCAGGTTGGCCGTGACTGCCTCCAGTTCGGTGAATATTTTATCTTTCCCATCATGGGTTGTACAAAGTTTTGCCCGGGAAGAGCAGGCTGTAGCAAACATCTCTACAACCTCAAAGATGCGTCTTCACACCAGTAAACGCAGCTCTGGCTCAGGCCACTGTTGCTGTGTAGTCGGGGAAGATTGCAGCCATTGCTCCATAGCAGCAAAGCTGGCTACAGGTACATGTGCAAGTCAGAATGTCCATGCATTGTTGATAATAGTAAATGAACAATAATGGTTTGTTACTTGCCTGTTAGAGAGCTCAGTGGAATCGATCTGTTGTCGGTTCTGTCTCTAGCTGCAGAATTTCTCTCAGCATTTTAGCCACAGTTGTGGAATTCCTCAGGAATTCCAAGAATCCAAGTATGACCCGCATTTGTGTAGCACCTGTCAGAGTAAGGACTCCAAAGCGCTTTACACTACAGTGTATCATTCATCCTTTTACACACGCATTCACACACTGGTGGTGATGAGCTACGATGTAGCCACAGCTGCCCTGGGGCGCACTGACAGAGGCAATACTGCCAAGCACAGGTGCCACCGGTCCCTCCGACCACCACCAGCAGGCAAGGTGGGTTAAGTGTCTTGCCCAAGGACACAACAGCAGAATTCTCTGTCTGGAGCCGGGATTGAACCTACTACCTGCCGATTACTGGACAAACCGCTCAACCTGTTGAGCTACTGCTGCCCCCAGAATATTGCATCTTCTCGACCGACTTTCCAGATCCTTGTATTTAGCTCGGAGTTCAGTAATGTCCTTCAGTTCGTCTGTCACACTTCGCAGTGAGATAACCTCATTTGACCAGGTGGACAATCTGCCTCCCACCTCCATTGTGCTCAGCTTGACCTGCTCCATGTCTGACTGGAGCTTGGCGGAAGAATTCCAAAGCTTGGCTCTTAATGATTGCAGCTCTCCTTTAATTACACTGAACAAAAATATAAACGCAACACTTTTGTTTTTGCTTCCATTTTTCATGAGCTGAACTCAAACATCTGAAACTTTTTCTACATACACTAAACACCCATGACTCTCAAATATTGTTCTGAAATCTGTCTACATGTGTGTTAGTGAGCACTTTTCCTTTACCATGATAATCCACCCCACCTACAGGTGTGGCATATCAAGGGGCTGATTGGACAACATGAATAATGTACAGGTGTGCCTTAGACTGCCTACAATAAAAGGTCACCCTTAAATGTGCAGTTTGATCAAACAGCACAATGCCACAGATGTTGAAACCTTTAAGGGAGCATGCAGTTGGCATGCGGACTGCAGGAATGTCTACCAGAGCTATTGCCCATGAAATGAATGTTCATTTCACAGGAGAAGGTCTTTTTAATGGCTTCCTTCTTGGCAACAAGGTCATAGAGCAGTGTGTTTTCTGATGTGGAGACCAGACAGTTAAGATCTGGCAGATGAAACAGCCTGGACACTTCCATGTGATGACCTCTGACCTGACAATGGACAAATAGCCAACTTGTACAAATGTTTGGCTAAAAACTACTTTTAAAAGGATGTCCGGAAAAAAGCTCCACCACAAGAGTTAAACGCTAGCCGCCATCTTGGAAACCCCCCAATTATAGGGATTTTTTAAATGTACATAAATATGGATAAATGATCACAAACTTTTAAAATCTTCAATTGCAAGTGTGTTTTAAGGCAGAAGTATAGGAAGACAGAAGAACCCAGCTCATGTTAATAAATCCTAAATGAAGAAAGTCAAGGAGACTGTCCCTGGAAACGAGACATCACAGCAGCAGCAGACACAGAGTTTTTGTAAGAGTCCCGTTTTATCAGATCACGAACACGTCAGTCATGTCGGAACTGGGACACTGTGCATCTTAACCTTGGCTCAGAATATAATTATTCTGTTCCGCTTAGTGAAGATGTGTCACTAAATCTGAGCAGGGCTTCCCCTACATAGGCGTAGCCGTGGCGGCCCGCCACGCCTACAAGATCCCAAGTTTTTTTTTTTGCGCTGTTTCCCGAAGAAGCAGCGGGAACTACTATGTTGTCGCTTGGGATCACAGCCGGCGGGCAGCAAGGAGGAGCAGGCAGGGCAAGGTGAAGTTACAGCATAAGTTACTGAGTTTAAAATTGGAAAGGTAGCAGTGGATATAATGCTTTTTGGTTTACATGTTTCAATAGCATTAAGATAAACTATTGTTGACGATCTTGACAGGGTTTCCTCCAGTGCTTATTAGGCCAGGTTTTCCTCCCCCCACCAGGCTAAGCATCACTTATTTATGTAAAATGTATTTTTTCATGTCTGACTTTAACCGCATCTAATACTGTATTACGGCGTGAGCGCAACTGCGACAACTTAAGATCGATGTGTGAGCAGCCTGAGAGGTCGGGTGTTTCATCTGAACCCTTAGCGATGTGACATGTCTCAGAGAAAGCATAAAAACATGTTGGACGCTTCTTCTGAAGCGGGAAAATAACACCTCTTCTTAGGCAGAGCACGACGTCGCCTCCGCTCGTTCACCCTCTGCCGAGCCGGACTGAGCTCGATAACATTGACCCAGCACAGCCACTGGGTCATTGGAGCTGCCCCGTGCCTGCCTGATGGAAAACCAGCAGGTTTCATCAGACTCGTAGCTTCTTGTTTTTGCTGGGGACCCCCTGTATTTTACCGCTCCCTCCTGCAGTCTTCCCTACTAAAATTTAAAATGATTCTGTAAATTCCGTGTATCAATAGAAAAAATCTCTGCCTCTGCCAGCTGCAGTAAATGTAGTCTCCAAATAATAAATAAGAGGTTCATTCATCTGTGTATCTCCTTTGATCCGCATTAGTGATGTTCTCAGCACCAGAACAGTGAAGCAAAGAAAGATTCCTGAGTTTGTTAGTAATTTTATTTATTAGGTGCATCTAACCTGTTCTATTTTTCTCTGAAAGGTGATCAAATCAGTGCTTCTATGGGTTGTCTCCAATCTGCACTGGAAAATTTTACTTTATTTAGAGATGTGTCATAATTTCTCCCCAAGCCGACCCCCCCCCCCCCCCCCCCCCCCCCCCCGCGCCACAGCTGGAAAAATTCCTAGGGGAATCACTGAAATCTTATTTCCCAGCACAATGGTCAGTCGCTTTATGCCACATATTCTACTTTTTTACCATCACACTCCAGCACAAACAGCTTCAACCTTCTGGATTTTTCCAATGATTAAAAGTATCCTGTAACATGCACTTGGGGGACCAGATTTACGCTTTAATCCAACTTTTCACTGCATTGTAAAGTGTTGCTTTCTGTTGTTTTGCTTTCAGATTTTGGACAGGATCGAAACTGTGAGGAGAAGCTTTGCCAACATGAGTGCACCAACCTGAACGGCACTGGCTTCATTTGCTCCTGCAAACCTGGATACATGGTAAACCCAGACAGCACCTACACCTGCCTCGGTATGTACAATAAAAGATATTTAATTTAAAGGTTGAAAATATACCTAAATAGATCTGAACATTTCTTTTCTCTTTCCTCTTTCAGACATTAATGAGTGTGAAGAGTTTGGGATCTGTCCTCAGGTCTGTAAGAACACCAAAGGCAGCTATGACTGCGAGTGTGCACCAGGCTACAGAAAGGTGGGCAACGGCAACATGTGCGAGGCGCAGGGTGAGAACAGTTTTATATAAATGTACACCAGGAGAACTGGAAACCAGTATGAAATACAGCTCCCTGGATATTTCAGTATTTTTGCTCTTTAAATTTTTAAATTTAATGATTCTGTTAGCAGAAGAGTTTGTTTAAATGTGTAGGCTTCTGTTTCTCCGACAGGTGCATCTCCACTGCTGCTGCTACCAGAGAGCATTCGTATTCGGAGGTTCAACCTGCAGAAGGAAACCTACCATGACTTCCTCCAAGAGGAGGAACGCATCATGGCTCTGGACTATGACTGGGACCACAACAGCACTGGATTCAGTAAGACACACAAATTAAAACCAGGTTTTCCATGTAGGGTTACGTAAATTGAGTGCTTTAAGAGCGCAATATATTTTACCCCTACTTGTGACCAATAAGCTGTGATACTCTATCTAAATATAGAATATCAACTCTGCTTGGTCTTTACTGTGTTTATCAGAAGATTCTAGGATTCTTTATTTATTAAGGGATTGTACACACTTCGTTTTGATTCAGAAAAGTTGGGTTTATAAAAGTAAGAATTTATTTTACCAACAATTAAAACATGACAAGTTAACTAACATTACTGTGATGGATGGAACTAGATGTGATGTATGAAACCTATGTGTGAATGCGGTGTTAGTCAGAACTTCCTTATCTAGGAGAGCTGAGTTCTGGATGTAAAAGAATTTGGTTTGCGTCAAGCTATGAAGGTGGTTGTTACCAAAACACATCAGACGCAATCTGTCATGTCTACTTCACCCATTTTTGGAGACCCTCTTGGTGGATCCGAAGGTCAGAGAGGTCGGCTGACCTCTGGCACCGAAGGGCTGTAGAATACCGTGGCACAGACGCTTCAGTCCAGAGATGTCTCGGGTCACAACAGATGGATGGAACCGCCCGTCTGGGACTCTGAAGGAGTCTAAACAATATCAGCTTGTTCTGTAGGAATTGTTTCTGTATCAGCTTTGCAGGTGCAAAAAGATTTTGACGACGTGTCAAAAGCATTGATGGGTTAAAGAGGGTTTTGCTTCAGGTGGCTGGTCTGAAACTGTATCTAGGACTGAGAGATCACCCAGAGTGATCCAGTTTTGATGTTCTCATGTTATGATTTGTGTAGCCAACCAAAGGTTGACAGGTTTGAGAAATGTTACCAAGAAACTCAGAAACACGCCTTCTTTGATACGGATGCTCTGACTGGGGTAAAAGACTATTTATGTGTCAGAGTTTAACTTAACCTTACTTGTTCTTGTGTGAGTGCAAATGGTGATGACCTTGTCATATTAACATGCTGAAACGTATTTCAATCACTGTAATCATAACATGACATTCATTTCAAACTTTATTCATTGAGCACAGATTAATGAAACATTTCATTATATTATAATTATTATAATTAGCAATAAACAAACGTTTATTTAATTATTATCTAGCTTATAAGTTGTAGAAGTTCATATGTGATTTAGGAAATCATTCTTTCACTTAGCAACTGATCCGAGCTGGAGTGTTCCTTATATGGAGGCATGAAGACCTGAAAGATTGGACCTTGAGGAGAGAATGCTATTGTTGGCATGCCGTTATCTTTTTTCAGAGCTGCAGAGACTCTGAGCTCCAGCTGATGGGATGAAGGCAGGCCAATTTAAAGGGGACACATGCAATCTTGTGTCGTCTTTTTGACCAGATGTTGAATGGTCAAACTGTACCTAAAAACTGACCATTGCTGGACGTTACATACATTACATTAAGAACCAGTTATAGGAATTACCATTGTAATTAATATTTATTTAGGTATGGTGTATTTCACTGTCGCTGGCAAGGACGCTGTCTCAGGTGCTATTAAGAGAGCATACATACCTTCAGTGGACGATGGTAGTAACAACATTGGGGCTGCTGTTGACCTTGGCATCAAATACATCACCTCACCAGATGGCATTGCTGTGGACTGGGTTGGCAGGTGATTAAACAGAACTGATCCTCTCCAAGCTCTTGTGTTTATAACTTGCTAAAGCCATTGATTAATGGAACACATGACTGTGTATGGACAGTTGTTCTTTTAACAATATCTGTTTGGCCTTTTTGTTACTTTAGAAACCTTTACTGGGCGGACTCCAGGCTTAAGAGGTTAGAGGTGGCCATGTTGGATGGACGCTACAGGAAACATCTTGTCAAAACTGAGCTGGGTCTCCCTTCTGCTGTGGCGGTTAATCCTCATCTGGGGTAAGACAAGGATCACCTTTTCTTATTAGAAAAAAATAATAATAATTAAAGAGTTAAACTAATGTTAGACAAGGCCAGCAAATGTATTTAGCTAAAAGAGTTATGTGTTTATTCCTCTGGTATTAAATCTCTTAAAGAAAAGCACAAGTACAACAGCATTTATCTGCTGGATGCACTTGAGCCAGCATCTGAGGTGTCCAGTGTTCTCATTACTGCTGTGAACCTTCAGGACGCTCTACTGGGCTGATCGAGGCGACACGGCTAAGATTGAGTGCTCTTGGCTGGATGGACAGAACAGGAAAGTTCTGGTAGGCGATGGTTTGGGTTGGCCCACTGGTCTGTCGATCGACTTCACCAACGATGACAGGATCTACTGGTCGGATTCCAAGGAAAGCCGCATCGAGTCTGTTCTGCCCTCAGGAGAGCAGCGTAGAACTGCTGTTTTCATAGGTGAAAGTTTGGATGATGTAAAAGTCTCATAACAGTTTTTGGCTCATCTTTGAACAAAACCACCAACTATCTCTCACACAGATGTGAAGAACCCATTCAGCGTGTGTGTGTTTGAGGACCATGTGTACTGGAGTACTCAGGAGAAAGGTGAGGTGTATCGGCAGGACAAGTTTGGTCGTGGAAGCAAAACCAAGCTGCTGACAGCAGGACCCTGGCTGACTCAGATCTCTGTGTTCCAGCAGCAGAGATACAACTCCATCAGCAGTAAGCTCCTTGCCCACATCCACAAATACAATAATGCATCAGACACATTTTTGTCTATCAAAAAATAAATAAAGCATAAATAAATGTGAGCTGTTGCTAAAGACACTTTATATCTTTATTTGTTGAAGTGAGGAATCCATGTAAAGGAACCTGCAGCCACCTATGTTTGCTCCGACCTGGAGGTTACACCTGCGCCTGTCCTGAAGGCACCAGCTTTGTCCCTGGCAGCAACACTGAGTGCGATGCAGGTGAGAAAAGGAGGCGTGGTTTAACTGTTATTGTGTTTTAAATATTATTTCATAAAATCTAGATCAGAGGTCTGCAACCTGCTGCTCTGGAGCTGCTATTTAGATCCTCCACAATGGCTCTTACTAATTTTCCCTAGAAATTATAATAAACCAACATGTTATTAAAAATAGATATATGTAGGTTTAAGCAGCTTTCCAGTTTTTATACAGAATGTTTAATTAGCATTTCCATAAGTGCCATTAACATTTTTAAATTTATTTATGAGGTATTTTTACATAATTTCCCACAAATATCAACATTCCAAAGGATTTAAGAACCTACTGAAATGATGTGTTTTTTCAAAAAGTTAAACAATTCTCTTATAATAAATATTTACTGAAGAGAGAAAAAATATTTCTGACTTTAATCTCTGAAAAGAATTAGAATCCTTGCTTTATTCTCAGAGTTTGAACTCTCATGTTTCTGAGACAAAAGCACTTTATTAGTGGCCCTAATGCTCTTCCTTGGATCTTTTTAAAAAATTACAAATAGTCAATTTTCTAAATGTCCTGTAACTTTTGTGGTTGCTTGCAAATTTTAGCTCAGTGGACTAAAGGCAAAAACGGGTCCTTAGATTGTAAAGGTTGCAGAACCCTTTCTTTTCTAGTTATCTGAAGAACAACAAATGACTTTAGATTATCCAGAGATATGCTGGTGATGCAGCATTGCATTCATAAGCTTTAGTACATTTTATGAACTGGATCCTTATTTATGTTCAGGGTTCGATCCTCCACCCACCATGCCACCACCGTGTAAGTGTCAGAACGGAGGCACGTGTTACTTTGATGACAACATGGCTCTCTGCATGTAAGACCATTCAGCCCTATGTCATTTATGTGCAATATGTGTAAAATCTGTTTAAAGTTTATGTAAATTTTGTATGAAATGTGTGTAAAGTTAGTTTGAAGTTTGTGTAAAGTCTATGTAAAGTTTATATATAATGTGTGTAAAGTTATATATATATATATATATATATATATATATATATATATATATATATATGAATGATTAAAATGAGAAAAAATGTAAATTAAATAAAATTGTGATTGAAAATTGTAAGGAAAAGGAAAGAAGGAAATCAGTGGGAAAGGCGGAGTTGGTAGAAAAAAGGTGAATAAAGGGAGGGTGGTGATGAACAGGTGAGGTTTCAGCTGCATTTTAAAGGAGACCACTGAGTACACTGATCTCAGGCTCAGGGGGAGAGAGGTCCAGAGTCTCGGGGCCACAGCAGCAAATGATTTGTCACCTTTGGTCTTTAGCCTGGTGCTGCACAACCAGTAGGCTTTGGTCACTGGACCTCAGGGACCTGATGGGGCTGCAGGGACAGAGAAGAACACCATGTGATGGTGCTTGTCCATGTAGGGCCCTTTAGACCAGAACCAAGATCTTAAAATGTACCCTGAAGGTAACTGGCAGCCAATGAAGCTGGAGGAGAAGCGGGGTGATGTGGATGTGCTTGGAGGACTTGGTCAGAAGCCGAGCACAGGTATTCTGAACCACCTGTAGACGGTTCAGGGAGGTTCTGCTCAGACAAGACAGGACAAGATAACTTTATTTATGCAGCACGTTTCCTACACGAAGGCAACTTGAAGTGCTTTACAGTTTACAATGTGGTTTTTAGAGACCCTAAGAAGAGCTGTTTCAGTAGAATGAGCTCTATGAGAACCTGACTGGAAACTGTCATAGACGTTATGTTCATCAAGAACAGCTGTGAGTTGTTTAGCCACAACCTTTTCCAAGATCTTGAAGATGAAATTAAGTTTAGAGATGGGTCTGAAGCTGCTATGGAGAGAGGGGTCAAGACTCGTTTTTTTAAGGATTACAGCGTTCTTAAAGTAAGCAAGGACCTGACCAGAAACCAGAGAAGCATCAATCATAGAGAGCACGCTGGGACCGATGGACTGAAAAGCCTTTTTTAAACAAAGATGAGGGTAAGATGTCGAGGGGGCATGCAAAATTCTTCATAGAGTTAACTAGTTTGGTTAACTCAGGCAAAGAAACGGGAGCAAAGCTATCTAGGATGACGGGTCAGGTTGGAGTCAGGAGAGGCAGAGACAAGGCTGAGGGCATAGACGTAGTTTTGACTTTAGAAGTGGGGGACACAACTGGCATGTGGACCGGGGTGGTGGGGGTGGGTAATCTTTACAGTATGTGATGGGAGACAGGCTTCAACACAAGCAGTTGTTTTCAGCTTGGTCCTAGTGCTCAACCAGTGTCTATTTAATATAGCGTAATATTGTTTTTGGACAGTAAAAAGTGCACAGGACAAAAATTGACTTTGCTCCGGGACACCAGGTTGGAGAAATAGGCAACCCTTGCGTCTCAGACTGCAGAGTTAATGGGTGTCAGAAGGTCCTCAGCAGATGGAGATGGAGATGGATTTTCTTCCTCAAATGTTCCGCATTGTGGCTGCAAATGCCAATGTTAAGTTGGTAAATCTGGTTCTGACAGGATAGACGTTGTCCGGAATGGAGAGGCGGTGCTTGTTAAAGTAATCAGTTAAGGAATCTGGGTCATTATCAGAACAACAGGGTGGATTAAAAGCTGCAGAAAATTTGCTAGCTGAGCTCTCATTAAGAAAATGAGAACTAATCAAGCAGCTAGCAGGAGGTGGGAACGCAGGAACTGACAGTTTAAAGAAAATGCAATGGTGATCTGAAAGTCTGTTTAAAGTTTGTGTAAAGTTTATGTAAAGTCTGTATAAAGTTTTGTAAAGTTTCAGATCATGCACTGTGTTTTAAAAAATGAGACTATTTAAATGCATGTGTTGTTTCACAGATGTCCTCCAAACTGGAAAGGAGAATACTGCCAGACCAGCGTTTTTAACACGGTTGCATCTTCAGGTAGGTCAGGTTTCAGTTTCATGGGAGAATATCTTACAGTACTTTAAACAACGTGAAAATTATGCGCTTTATTTTCATTCTCCTTGTTCTTCAGTCGGAATAGCCATTGGAGTGACGATACTGGTTGTGGTGCTGCTGGTTTCTCTGGTCTTTGTTGCAAGGAGAAAGTCCAACCTGCTGCAAAGACTGCAGAGCAGTATACCCAGTATGCCATCCATGCCTAATTTTTCAAATTTCAGGTGAGGCAAAGCTGGAAAAACTCCAACATTGTTAATGGTACAAAATTTTGCATCCAAATTAGTCTTTCCATCGATCCATCCATTTTCATCTGCTTATCCGGAGTCGGGTTGTGGGGGCAGTAGCCTAAGGTGAGAGGCCCAGACTTCCCTCTCCCCAGCCACTTTGGCCAGCTCCTCCGGGGGAATCCCAAGGCGTTCCCTGGCCAGTTGAGAGACATAGTCCCTCCACCGTGCCCTGGGTCTACCTTTAGGTCTCCTCCTGGTTGGACGTGCCCAGAAAACCTCACCAGGGAGGCGTCCAGGAGGCATCCTGATCAGATGCCCGAGCCACTTCAACGGGCTCCTCTCGATGTGCAGGAGCAGCGGGTCTACTCCGAGCCCCTCCCGAATGACCAAGCTTCTCACACTATCTCCCCACTCTTCAGAGAAAACTCATTTTGGCCGCTTATAGTCGCGATCTCATTCTTTCGGTCACTACCCAAAGCTCATGACCATAGGTGAGGGTAGGAACGTAGATCGACCGGTAAATCGAGAGCTTCGCCTTCTGACTCAGCTCTCTCTTCACCACGACAGACCGCTACAACGCCCGCATCACTGCAGATGCAGCACCAATCCACCTATCGATCTCACGCTTCAGTTTTCCCTCACTCGTGAACAAGACCCCGAGATACTTAAACTCTTCCACTTGGGGCAGGACCTCATCCCTGACCTGGAGAAGGCATTCTACCCTGTTCCGAATCAAGACCATGGTCTCAGATTTAGAGCAGCTGATTCTCATCCCAGCTGCTTCACAGTTGGCTGCCAACTGCTCCAGTGAAAGCTGAAGATCACGTTCTGATGAAGTCAACGGGATCACATCATCTGCAAAAAGCAGAGACCTGATCCTCAGACCACCAAAACGGATGCCCTCCACACCTTGGCTGCACCTAGAAATCCTGTCCATAAAGGTTATTAACAGAAAAGGTGACAAAGGGCAGACTTGGCGGAGTCCAACTCTCACTGGGAACGAGCCCGACTTACTGCCGGCAATGCGGACCAAGCTCTGACACCGGTCATACAGGGACCCAACAACCGGTATCAGAGGGCCTAGTACCCCATACTCCCGGAGTACCCCCCCACAGGGTCTCCCGAGGGACGTGGTCAAACACCTTCTCCAAATCCACAAAACACATGTAGACTGGTTGGGCAAAGTCCCACGTACCCTCCAGGATCCCCCTAAGGGTATAAGCTGGTCCAGTGTTCCACGGCCAGGACGAAAACCACATTGCTCCTCCTGAATCTGAAGTTAAGTTATGAACAAATTAAATCTGTAGTCAAACAAAAATTTAGGCTCAATAAAATAGAATTACAAACACCACCAAGGGTATTAGACTTCTATAATCTCAAACCCCCCAAACTACTGTCTGAAGTATATAAGACACTGTCCAAAATAGACAATAGAATAGCAATCCCTATTGAAAAATGGGAGGTGGATCTATCAGTCAGCTTTGACCAGAACTTCTGGTCCCAAACTTGTTTAAAAACTTTTAAAATGATCAGACACTCCAATTTACAATTAATTCAGTACAAAATTCTACACAGAGTACACTATACAGGTCATCGGATGTTCAAGATGGGGTTTGTGTCGTCTGACACCTGTACACACTGCACAAACAACATTCCTGACAATTACATTCACGCACTGTGGTCCTGTCCACCTGTCCAGGAATTTTTGGGGTAGAGTATGTGAAGACCTGTCAAAGTCTCTGAAATGTCATATCCCAACCACCCCCTCTCTTTGTTTACTGGGAAACCTGGACGATGTCCCGATTGAAACATCTTTGGTTCACGTGGTTCTGACTGCCATATGCATCGCTAAGAAAACTCTCCTCTTGAATTGTAAAAATAGAGAAACTCTCTGCATTAACCAGTATAGAAATCTTTTGTTAGATCATATTACACTTGATTCAGTCTCTGCTTCCACTTCAAATCAATCTCTCTGGGCTCCTTTGATCGGTTCCATCACATAGCGATAATGGGGGACCGTTGATGTTGTCCTGCGGGATGATGTGGGTGGGGGGTGGGGGGTGGAGGGTGTGAGTTTAGAGTATCCGTATGTTCCCTGGAGGTGGGTTCACTGGGGATGTCTGGGACTGGGGGGCCGTTGCCCCCCTCTGGAGGTGCTTGGGTTGCCTTGGGGGGTGGACTACTGGCGGTTGTTAGTGGGGCCCCTCTGAGGTCTTGGCGGCGGCCACGGGGTCACTGCCTGGCAGCTGCATTGCCCCATGGCGGGTCTGGGTGGGGGCCTGGGGGCTCGGGGTGTTGCGGTGGCTGGCCCTGTGTGGGGATCTGGGCGGGGCCTTGGGGGTCGGGTCCTGATATGTGTGCTGCCGGGAAGAAGGCAGTAACATGCAGCAGTGCCTGGCCCGGGTTCAGGGGCCTCGGGTAGACCTTGGCGATTATAGATGGCATGCATAGATACAAGCTTCTATGTTTTTTACTGTAAACTAATGCTTTGTTTATTTTTAGGAACGGTTACACCAAAAATGGACCAAAACCAGACAACAGCGATTCAAGTCAGACTGTAGAGGTAATCTTAAATAGATGAAATCCTTATTGTTAGTCAACAATGAATACCAACACCTGATTGTGTTCTGTAATTTGCTCAGGTTCCCTGCATGTCCGTGTCCATAGCTGAGACAGAGGGAAGGAGCTTTGAGAACCCGACGTATGAAGAACAGCAGCATGATTCCAGAAGTGTGCCACCAGTTGCCTCTTCTCCTGCTGAAATAAACAAGGTCAACAAACAAAAATCACATTCTATTAACTCAGCTTGACTTTCTGGCAGGAACCAAATCTTCCCCAAAGTGTTTTATCTTCTACTACATGAAGATCCTTTTAGATCGTTTAAAAAGGTGTCTTCCTAGAGTCTGTTTTGTTGTGTAAAATAAGAGCTTGATGTTTTGATTTGCTGGTTTCTGTCCTCAGGAGAACGTTATTAATCCTTTATATGTGGAGGACGTTCAAGGTGTAGAAAATCTCTCAACAAGTGCATCTGGTCGCCCCGATTTTACCACGGTTGGTTTTACAAATTTCCTGTAACATTTCTTATGTTTGTAAAGGATGGGTAGTTTACATTTTACTTATGAACCGTAAAATGTGAGATTCCACAGAAATATGAAATATCAATCTGATGGATCTTTGAATATTTTAACCAGAAGATCAGAACTTTTTATTGCAGGGATTACGTGACACTTCGTATTAACTCAGAGGAAAGACAGAGAGTCAGGTTTATAATAGTTAAGAAATTTATTTCTACACAATTTAAACAAGACTAACTTTAAACACTCTGTGTACTGATGGACTAAGGTGGAGTGAGACGTGAGATGATGGTGTGTGTGTAGAATGTTATTATCAGAACCAGTGGATCCGGAGAAGCATTTAGTTCTGAGTGGGAGTGAATGTTTCGCTCTAAACTACAGTTGGAGATTCATAACACACATGAGACGCCATCTGTCGGTCTACATACCCCAGGGGAAGCCTCCGATCAGATCTAGAATGCCGAGGTCCTCTTGGACCCTCCTTGCAACCGAAGCCGGTAGAAAAGCAGCGGTGCCGACCAAACTAGTCTTGGAATGCTTCCAGGTCACGACAGTTATTATTGGCATCAGCGAGACCCTGAAGGGGTCGTGAGGTTCAGCTTTTATTCTGAAGGAACTTGCGGTCAGGTCTCACTTGCAACAGATTTTATCCAGCTTGTCGAGGTTCTTTTGGCTGAAGAGGAAGTCTGGATGGCCTGTCCGAGACTTCTCTAGAATGCTTTGAACTAAAAAAAAGGTTGCGTGGAATAGTTTTTATAATTGTCATATTTTGGTTTACTGGCGAATCAGAATTTGACATGCAAAAGAGGGTTTACACAAACACCACAGAAAACCACGCCTCGCATCAGAAACAAAGGTTCTGATTGGATCAGACAAAAGGAAATGTGTCGTGTGACTTTAGCATTGCATGTCATTAGTGTCTAGTGCAAATGTCCAGGATTATAATTACTTGTAAAATACTACTGATCACAGGATTATAATATCAAGTAATAACATTGTCATTTCACAGATTGATTGAACATTGGTCTCACATTATTATTGGTTATAACAAAGTCGTTTGATTATGTGTTCATCAAGAGAGCTCTTTGTCTTCGTCTTGAGCTGAAACAGAGGTGAAGCAGTTCAGATGAGCAGAGTGCAAGAAAGACCTTGGCCAATATCTCATGTAGATTAGCCTGTGTCAGAGACTTTATGTCTCTGCTCGAGCAGATGCAGCAGATCATGACCTTTAGTTCAACAACAGGACATTCATGACGCTACATGTTGTTGCAGCTTTGCATGAAAAAACATCTACTTTTATCTTTATTTAGCTGAATATCTCTGATCTCTTCTCAGGAAGTGTTAACAAACCCAGCTGATGATTCAGCTGAAGAAGGTGTTGAAGCCACTTCTGCACAGCCATCTGAGTCACAGGTAACCTAAGAAACAAGTTAAAGTGTTACACCAGGTTTCCCGTCTAGTAGCTGAAACCGTTCTTTAGTTTGTATTTATGTCAACTTAAGCCTGTAGGTTTAATTTATTCTTTTTTGACAGCAGTTAGAACCTACTGGACGTGAAAATGCTGCATCTTTCCAGAATCCGGTATATCTAGTGAGTGATTTGTAATTAGTTTACAATTTTGTTGATTTATTGCTTGGGGATATAACTCAAACCTGCATGGAAATAACTGTTCTTTTGTTGTTTTTTTGTAATTGTGTTTTTCCTGCAGAAATCTGACCCCGATGTGTGACAGCACCACTACACCAAAGATTAGATGGTTCCAACCATCATTCATTCTCACCAGAGGAGGCTGAAAAGATTGCTCAGAAAGCTAAATACAAACAAATCAAAGAAGAAACAGCAGTATTTACGGGTGTGACCCTAACAATTGGATATATTTTAAGCTGATGCATAATAAAATGTAGGTTCTCGATTTAGTTTGTATCATTTTGTAAATTTAGATTTTGAGAAACTCCTATTATTAAACTTCCTTTTATCATTAAATTGTTTCAGTTATATTTTATCTTGATACAATCACTTGCTTTTTTCCAACGAAACAGATCCTTTATCATCAGCCACACTCCTACGGTGTAATCTAGTCTAATCAGATAAACTCAACCAACAACAAAGCGACAGCTACAATACCGCTCAGTTTTTCTCTTCTTGTGTCTGAACGTATTAACGGGCTTGCGGGCTAAATGAGCAGAGGCACGGTGGACAAGAGAAAATAACAGAATCAGAGGGGAGAGGGAAGGGGTGAGTGAGAAAAACAAAGGGAAGTGTTCTCTTTTTTATTTTATGAAGATTCACACGTTTTAAAAAGCTTGATTCCTGCGAGGCTTCACCCAGAAAATGTGCGGCTCACTGAGCGATGAGGTGGGTGGGAAAGCATGAATAGCAATAGATGCAGAGAGGAGCAAAGCAAAGAGGCATGCAGCTCACAGCATGTGTGCGCACATCGCTGCCTTCAGGGACTATTGGAAAAGGTACCACAGACAAGTATCTACGTATAATTTGATAAGGGAACACCTACATTAACATGATCTTTATTTCTGCATTTAAAATTAATACTAAAATGGTTACATGTAATAAATTCATTTTGAAATGCAAGGAGATTATATTATAAAAGCAAGTTTATGAAAATAGAAATGTTTAAGGGTGGTTTGGTTGGAATTTATTCAGCAATCACTTGAAAATTACCTTTTTGTTAGATTAATTATATGTACATTTTTTTCATTAACTCTATATTAACAGCATCAATATTTAAGAATTTAAGTAAATGGTTTAGTTTAGGAAATAGAAGCAAAAAACTGGGTAAAATCAAAAAGCTGAAGGCAATAAATTACTTTAAATTTCTGGATTTCTCATTCATCAATACTTTTGCAGCAGTCTAGAAGGAATAAATGCCATTCAGGCAGTACTCGGGGTACAGAAAAGTCCACAAACTCCTGACTCAGCAGGGCAAAGTGAGCTTCAGGTTTTGGAGTATTATTTCCTGATTTTTGGACATCTCGCGCCGAATTGGATAACAGCCACGCGACTCTACCACTGACTTGCAATATGGATGTTTTATCTCCACAAATAACACAACCCATGAGAACTCCTGCTGTGAGGCGAGAATGCTAATGCTAACAATTAGCTTAAACCAGCCGAGATGTCTGCTGCTGATTACCGTATATTAAAACAACAACAACAGCCTTCCCCGTTATGGGTGAAGATGGGCGAGTCCATGAATGTTAAGTGACAGTGTGATGTAGATCTTTGAGGAGTTTCAAATCCTAGAATTTTACCATCTATCTTTGGTCAGAAGCTAATGCGGGATAATTTGGGGGGGGGGGGGGGGGGCATGTCCCCCCACTTTTTCCAAAGTCAAGTTTTGATCCCTGCACTTTTTACCATCCAAAAACAATATTACGCTATATTAAATTGACACAGGTTGAGCTCTAGGACCAAGCAGAAAACAACCAATTGTGTTGAAGCCTGTTTCCCATTAGAACATACTGTAAAGATACCCCCCCCCCCCCCCAAAGTGAAAATTACATCCATGCCTCAGAGTGTCCAATTATAACCAGGAAAAAACATTAAATAAATGTTTTTTTCTGATTCTAATTAACCTATTTCACGTTATTCTTTTCTGATAAAAACACATTCGATGTTTTAATATAGGGAAACTAAAGGACTATGGCGTTTATTAAAAATTCACCTTTAAAATGAATAAAATAGTTTATAAAAATGTCAGTCAGCATTTAATTTTGGACTTGTTTTTATGGAATTGGGACAGATTTGGGGGGTCCGCAGAAAGCTGGGTCGTCCAAAACCAGTACAAGTGGGGGAGTTTAGAGTTTCCCAGGCGTCGCTGAAGGCATCTGAAGAAGAGAGCGAAGTGAGCGACGGAGGAGGGGGGAAGGGGGCGGCTCGCTGGGATAGACAGAAAGAAACAGAGGACTAAAACCTCATGTGTGACAGCCAGGCTGAGAGGGAGCGAACAGAAGAGACGGGGAGCTGCTGTCGCTCTGAGCGGAGACAAAAGAGGAGCGTCAACAAGGTGAGGAAGATGATGCTTTCAATGTGCGCTCACTTAACAGGTCCTCAGTCTGAGGGAACGAGCCTCAGGAGGAGACGGAGCTTCAGGGGCACGTTTTAATCACACAACTGTAAACCTTTTGTTTGGTAGAACATGTTTGAGTATTTTTAAACTAAGGTTTGACATCACGTGTCATGGTGGTATGAGGGGCATGTTTCACCTGTGGTTGGTTGATGGGCTGCACTAATCCTGCAGAAATACACAGGATAAAGGTGTGAGTGGTCTTTAAGCATCTCAGGACTTATAACGGAACAGGGCTTCATTCTGTCCATTAAATGATGAAGAGTTGAGTTCATGGAGGACAAAGTCTGTGTTGACCTCTCTGAGATCGGGAGCAGGAGCAGGCCTTTGTCACGCTCTGCTGCCGCCGTCGGCCAGGATCACTTTTATGGTTTTATATTAGCTCTGAGGAAACAAAGAGATCTGAAGGTCAGAGTGACTAGAGGCTATAATGATGCATCTGCTGTTGTAAACATAGAAATCAGTTTCATGACTCAGTGGCTGTAAAACAAATAAAAGTAGGTGTTTTATGCAGATAAACTGTCAGATGGATGAAAGCAGTCTGAGTCTCTTTGACAGTCAGAGCACATTCTCAGAGTTTTTTATTTTTATGTCCATAAGTTAACATAACGATTATTAAAACAAAAAGATGAAAAGTCCTACAAATACAAAAGACTGGAAACAAACACACAAGTGCTTTATGTTTACCATCAGAAGGAAAATGTGCTTTTTTATTTACCACAGTTACATAAATGATCCAAAATCCTAGATAAGAGATGCAAATGTGCAAAAACAAGTTGCGGCAAATGCAAATCTACTACAGAAAAGGCAGCAATAGTTTGACATGTTCAAAATGCACGCTGCTTAAAAAACGTTTTAATGACCTCCAAAGGCCATCTTGCTTAAAACTTCCTTTAAAATATTTAATTTTGTATTTTGCAAATATGTTCATTATTTCAGTATACATTTCACTATTCAAATGTGTACCTATATGTTTTTCCACAGAGGTCATTAAAATGCCGTAGAGATGAGGAGTCTGTTTAGATCATCAGTGAGCTTGAATTTAAAAATCAAATGTTGATTTAGTTCTATTGTTATCCAATTATTGTTTATTTTTTCCAGGTTTATTTTCTAAATGATCCCCTCCAAATGTCTAGACTACTACGCAGTGCTAAAACCACAAAGACGCAAAAGATAAACAAAAAAGCTCAGATAAAAGCCACAAAAAACAGAAAATATGACAAAAAGAAGCTAAAGATCATCTACAGAAGGCAAAATGACGGCAAATGAAAAGAGCAATGCAAAAACACATCAACAATAAAAATTAAAATAAAGTAAAATAACTAATTTGTTGTTTACAAACCAAACTATTACTCAAAACAAACACAAAAGACAACACTGAGCCGTAAAACCAGCACAAAAATGCTAAAAAGCTAATATAAGACTTTAATAGGCACATTAGCATAAACAAATCGGCCTGGGTGTGTTTTTCTTCTCCAATTTTTCCAGTGGGACTCTGAACAAATTCATCCCCCGAGAGATTTTCTCTCATTTTCCATCCATGCACGTCTCCTTTCCTGCCGTTTAACACCAACAATCTAAAGTGTCTAAGATTTAGCTCCTGATCAGATGGGATGAGGATTCCTCATCCCACTTCGGCACAGAAACGAGTGTCGACTGTGGGTGTTTTCGGAAACGAACGTCAGGTTATGCTCCTCAGACATAAAGGCGCAGCCATGCTGCTCGTAGTGGGAGTGTCGGTCAGCCTGATGGTTTCCCCGCTGTGCTTCAGGGCGAGTGAGCGGAAGGTGTTCAAGTGATTGTCTTCTAAGCCTCTTAGGAGCCGTCTGCCTGACCTCCTCTGCTCTGCGTTTCACTTTGTGCTTTATCTAAATGCGGTGAGAATATAATGGAAATGTCAGAGTGGTTTTATATTAATGTTTATAATCAAGAGATTTTCTATCAACAACGCCACATCCATGTGGTATGAAAAAGAGAGTTTTCAATCAGTCAGTAATCATTGGGTTTTAATAAAACTAAATGTTTTTTTTTCCTAGAGCTTATTTAAAAGAATACAGCTGGTGGCTTGTTTTGTTTCCAGTGGATATGAAAATGGAATATGTCAAGTTCCAATATGCCAGATAAGCCATGTGGATGGTTTCCTGGATGGTGGATGGACTGTCACGCTGTACAGGGCTGGGCAGATGGCAGCAGCACATTGGTGACCCCCACCCTCTTTGTCTCCCATTTGGGACTCGTCCAACAGCAAATGAGTGTGGAGAGCAGGTGGCGTGCACGCCTGCTAATGTGAGTGGTGGGGCTGAAACTCTCTGAATGTTTAGACTGAATCGTTCTCTAGTCAGACAACATGAACCATGCAGGTTAAAGTCAGCTGATTCACTCAGGTCCGCGCCTGCTCTATCTGTGGTCCAAAGACATCTAACATTCTGGTGTTTCCAGCACTGCTGGGTTTATTTTTACCCTTTAGTCTGTTTGGTTTTGTTGTTTTGGGGAATCCTCAGTGATCCAGAGAGAGCACATCCATCTTCAGTTGGATTAAAATACCATATGGCCTTTGGAAACTAAGAAACTAGAGTTGGTAAGAACTATTGTGTTAAAGGTTTTGTCATCAGAGATTCACCAATTTGGGTTTTGAGGGCTGTTAAGTCACAGTTCTGACTTTGACCAAATCCAGTTTAATGCACAGAACTACAACGATCAGATTATTTTCTGTAAGTTTAAACTTTTCATAGTTCAAATTTAAACTATGACTCTAGAAGTTAAGCCCCCGCACGGACGATCTGTTGTTACTAGTGTGTATTAGAGCTTAGCTGTGGTACAAATACAGACCAGGATAATGTGAGATTTTTTATTATTTCTGCCAGATTGCTCAGGCTTTAGAGAAAAAATAATTTAAGAGTGTCAGATTAGCAAATCACTGATTAAGCTGATCAGGCTGAACAGGTTACTGGCTGCATCTTTTCCTCTCCACTGTCGCTAAATGATTGCTTAGTATGAGAATTGCTGTAAACTTGATGCAATTTTCTGAGTTCCTTATATAGGAAACCTTTTACTGATTGGCTTAATGAACTGACCTGTATTGGAATGTTTACTGTGTGAAGTGCCTTGTCGTGATTTGGCGCTTTATAAATAAACTTGAATTGAATCTTTTTAAACTCATTTAATCACAAAGAGAGAAAAGTCCATTTGAAGCCAAATAGAAATTGAAATAAAAATATTGAAGGCCAAGCTTATGAATACCCCTCCTCCCTACTACCCGAGGACTCACTGATGTTGTTGGGCCCTATTGTGTTGGAATGGTTGTTTTGATTAGATGCAGGAAGGTGTGTTCTAGACTGAAACTGTTTTGAAATTAGGTTTAGAGTTTAGCTGAAGGTGCTGGCAAGGTGAAACCTAAGACCTCCTCCTCTGTAGGTCGTTACCGTTTGACATAGATGAGTAAAAGAAGCCTTCTATGTCAAACAGACAGCAACAGTTTGTAAACTTAACTCTCCCATATTCCAGTCAGAAGTGACAAAACTCCTCAGATGAGAAACGAAATGTCTTCAGGAAACCAAAGAAGTCCAGCTGCCTCCATTTGAACCTTTTGGATTACCCTTGAAAAGAGTACACATCTCACTCAGTAAAGCAGAATGCTCATATTTTTGGCACTTATTAATCTAAACTAAAGATGTAAAAATACTTCTAACAGCATTTGTCCAACATTGGGTGTGTGAATTGATTGGAAGTTCTTGACCAGATGGTTAAATGAAGGAACATGTGAAGAAGCCGCTTTAGACCGAATCAATCAGGGAGAAGTACTGTTGATTCCTAGTTGAAACGTACTAGTAGAGTTTAAAGGTCAAATCACAGCTGTAGCAATGCTTTCACACAGATGCTGTGTGATTAAAATGTGACAAGGCTGTTGGTGGAACAGATGCTCAGAGCAGAAGTCAAGAAGAGAAGCCGTCAAGTGTTTTTTTTTTGTTTAAAGAAAATTCTCATTTTCTCAAATCGAGCCTGTTCTCTTGCACATAAATTTTGTATATATCAAGATAAATTTTCTTCTCTGTGTGAACCTGTGGTTGACATGTGTTGTGTTGATGGGTTAGAACTGAAACTGATGGGATGGGATGGAAGTTGTGGGAATATAAACCCAATCCACAATGATCAGGAGGGTTTATCTGTGAGTTCCAGATGTTTACTGACCCTGACTGGTAAAATATGGAAAGCTGTTCAGTCGTGGAATGTACCAAACTGATTTAACATTCCTAAAATCAGGACAATTGAAGGCAAATTGTTCAAATTTTTCAACAGTTTACCTAAGTCAGTATGTGCTAAAATGACCCATTACAGGGTTAATGAAAAGCCACTCAGACCCCACCCTTCGCTATGGCCAGAATATCGCACTTGCAACCTCAGAGTGTCCGGACCGGTCCCTGTTAGTCAATAGTAAATTGATGCTGACATGCCTGGTGCTACTGTAGAACCTAATGAAGACTGAGGAGGCATTTCACAAGTTAGATTAAAGTGTTACAAAGATGAGCCCACAATCAAATTGATTTTCGGTTTAACCACAATGAATTAATAACAGACACTAGGGTGCCAAAACCAAACAATACTACCTGATATCCCTTTAATCTAACAACTGAAAATAAGAGAAGAAGGAAGTCTGGGCCTCTCTGCTTAGACTGCTGCCCCCGCAACCCAATTCCAGATAATTGGAGGAAAATGAATGGATGGAAATCACTTCATGTGCACCTAGGGCTGGGGGTAAACGATTATTTTTAAAACGATTATTCTGACGATTATTTTATCGAATAGTCGACTATTCTAATGACTATTTAGAAAATTAATCTAATGATTATTTTTCTATTGCACAATTAACAAAAACCAGAAAATCTCAAATAAATTCCTCAAAAAAATTGATAAATTCTTACTGTAAGAGAATAAACACTACA